CTACACTCTATAATGTAAAATTCTTAGTCACTTATTTTGTTTCACATAAGAAAAATTTGAAGTAAGCGTTGTATTAGTTTTTCTGCTAAAATCCACTATAAAAACTCAATAGATATGGCGAGAGAAACATTTAAAATTGGTTTATTTGCTCACGAATTAGTACAACATATTGCAGAGTTCGAATGTCTCTATAATAATAAAACGTTGAACCATTACAAGAAAGTGACAAGTGATTCTGGTTTCGATAAGTGCATCGGTGAAGCTGTTTATCTTATTCTGGGTCAAAATGGCAATGTTATTTATAATTGCTATGAAGAAATGGACGACACGATCCTGGAACTAGAGACAGAGTTTGCATTCAGAGCTCTTGACGCTGTACCTGCATATTTTCCCGAAGGATATACACCTGGACATTGTTTGGGATATTGTGCTATGTTGATAGGAGTATCATTATTGTTTTTAGAAGTATATGAAACGGACACTGTGTTGGTCGTGGCTGCAGACATAATACAAAGTGTCCTTACTTATTTTACACTGATCTCTGATTTTGATATGCGTAAAGACTTGCCTGAATTGATAAGAGTCTCGAGACATTTTTGTCGAAAATTAAAACCCCGAAAAAAGAAATAAAGCAGTTTGAAAAACAATTTTTTTATTGACAAGTAAAAGCGCAAATGTTATATAATTGTAAGACAAAGGATAAATCCAATATATCTGATTGTTTTAATTTATTGTAAACTATACTATTTAAATTTTTTTCCAGTTTTTTTTTATTGAAATCTAAATATTGTTTTCTAGCATTCTTATCAGATATTTTACGCTTTGAATTTGAATTACATATTGTTTTTATTATTAAATATTCAAACTTACATCTTTTATTTCTTTTCTTATGTCTTGTTTTGTCTTAAGCCTAAAACTTAGATGTTCCATAGAGTTGGTAAAAATTCGATTGCAAGAAATCTATTATTTGTACTCAAAATTACGTGTACTCGTAATCACATCATAACATGCAATTTAGGCAAGTTTAAATCAAAATTATATGTAATTGTTGATGTTTATTTTTCATTATGGATTAATCTTAACTGTTTAATTGTTGTTCCGATTACAAGTAACTGATTACTTGTAATCGAAAATTACAAGTAACTGAAATTTTCGGAAATTACAATTGATTACAAGTAACTGATTACTTGTAATGTGTAACATTTTACCAAATTTCAAAACCAAAACCTCAGCTACAGAGTAGATTTGAGTAAATTTTGATAGCTAATAACCCATTATAGGTTACCATAATTATATCTTAAGATGAAATTGAGCTGAATTTTATTATTAGTCATATGTGTAATCTTTGATAATGTTTAATTCTTATCCTAATTTAACCTGATATGGCAGATAATTTAATTGTTATCATGATTGTAAGTACATGATTAATTGCAGTATGTAATATTTTTCCAAACTCTGCAGTATCTAAACATCGGCCATACAATAGAGTAGGGTAAAATTCATTTACAAACTATCAATTATATGTATTCATGATTACATAATAACATGTAGATAAGTTTTATTCAAAATTATACATAATCATTAAATAATGATTATTTCTAAGCTAGGTTTAGCCTGTAATCCTTGATTGTTTAATTGCATTCCTGATTACTTGTAATGCAATAAATATTGCAAAACTTTTCAATATCTAAACCTCAGCAAGAAAGTAGGCACGAGTAAACTTAAAAGACAAGTATTCAGAATTACATAAATCAATTATTAATCATAAAATGCAATTAAGATAATTTTTATTCAAAAATGTGTATAATCACAGATAATGATTATTTCTCATCATAGTGTATCCTGTAATGACGATTACAAGTGACTACAGGCAATAAATTACATTTTGTGAAACACTGCAATATTTGTGTGTAACCTTTACTTGAGCCATATATGCGAGAAATGAGTCAAGCGTTTTTTTTTAATAGATACTGTCAGAACTAGTTTGGAATAATTCTAACTTTTTAAGTCTAATTAAATATTGCAGGATAATGCTTTTTGTGAACTACAAGTCAGTTTACTCAAAATATTATCGAAAATAGTTTGCACACCGGGAATTTTTTTTAAAAATTGCGTGAAAACAATTACGGATCTGCTTTAATCTCGTATACTAAATTTAGCCCAACAAATGCATGAATATGAAAATCTGAAATACTTTAGTCCTTACTATTCCATTTATATACGAAACTAGATGCTAACAAGATGTTATAATACGATTATTATAAAATATATAATACAATTATTATGAATTATAAAATATTATAATACAATGATTGAAATTTACAAGTTAAAGTATAAATGCTGCAACATGTAAGAAAATAACTTGTTTCTGAGAAGGTAATTACGCTTTGAATTATTTTTTTCTTCCGTTTAGCTATAAGGGGTAAAACCAGGATTGAAAGTGCATACTGTTTGTCTAAGATAGGTACTCAGACAGTCTGCGGCAGTCTGGTGCTATGGAAACAAGAAGAGGGCATTTTAGGGAGGTAGCTTCGATGAAGAGGTTCCCTTTTCTCTCGCTGAAACCAGTCCCAGAGAGGGATCCCACACCGCTACTTAAAATAATCATACCTCGTTACCATAGTCACCGCCGCAGCTCCAGACGAATGTCTGGCAGAGTACATATTTTAGGCAAACAGTAGATGTTATCGTGAATAACCGAAATGCGTAATCACATAGTTGCTTTGGTAAGTGTCCGAAATATATACTAGGTCCAGTTAAGTGCCACTGCCTGTGATACTTTTGCCCGGTATGCCCTACATCAATGTTTTTTAAGGTCTAGCGCCACTGTCTAGTATGCATTAAACAGGGACTCCGAACACTGATGTTTCTCCTAATCTATCTTCAGCAGATATTAAAATATTTGATAAATATCACCGATTAAATTAATACCTCATCGGATCTAACAAATATTTCATACATTCACCAAAGCGACTATGTAATTGTTGACATTCACTGGTGAAAGTCGACATTCTCCTAATTTCGGTCATTCACTGTAACATATAATTGTCAAACCGAAAAGGAGAAAAAAATGGTAAGTAAACAATTTAATTTAATCTTGAATGTGGGAAAATAAGAGCATTTTATGAACTATATCGGTAGGACTGTTTTTTAACCCAAGAAAAATAAATAATGATAAATACATTATAGTTAAGAATAGTAAAAGCTTATAAACCCCTTCCTTCTCGCTTCCCGTGAAAATGACGTGGTGAGGTTTTGCCCTCTATTTCTCGCTCCCGTCATATTTCCGGGTTGAAGTGTTCAGTATAGTAACGTGCCAATAAGAATAAAACTAATTCATTTCTTTTGCCTGGAGAACATTTAATTTCTGATTTTACACAAAAGATGGCAGTACCAGGTAATTTTTAAGGTAATTGTAGATTGTCAGTTTATTTTGAACTTGATATCAGCACAAGATGTTTGGATGTCAGAAAAAAAATCGGCACTTTTATGACCGTTTTCTTCAGAATTAACCAATCGTTAAAGGGTTAAACTTTTCACATTAAGCATTTATAAAGCAAATAATTTAACTACCAGTCTATTCTTTTTTTCAGTCTTACTTTTCATCTTCTCATTGTTTCCGGAAAAATGAGTTACGTGGCTGTTTTTAGTTAAGGGCCGTTTTGTTGTGTACACTTATAGGTGAAGAGTGCGTCGCAACGAGTACTTGCGTCATGTCTTGGCATTCCTTGGCAACTGTGCTCATTTACTGCTGTGTATGTAATTTATGCTGTCAGTTCTGTGTCTTTATAATGTTCAAGTTTAACAAATCACCCGCCCCGTATGAGGTACGGTCAGTGATGTGTTTTTATTTGCCGAAAACCTCGTCTGCTGCCTACATTCACCGGCAGATTTCTGAAGTTTACGAACCTTCCTACTGTCATGTAGTCAGGAAATTTCGCTACTCCATGACAACGACTCTCTCCACAGCTCAGTCCCGAGCTTTATTGAACTCTTTTGGCTGGGAAGTTTTTGTCCAACCCTCAAAACTGCCCAGACCTATCAACACCTCCTAGAAGTAGAAAGGCCTCAGCACTAATCAATTTAGTAGTCCGATGTGACGAAGTTGACTGCGCAGTAGACGAAAAATAAAAAAGATGTCATTACTTTAGGGGTACTAAGCTGCGCAGTGGTTGAAAATACAAAATATGTCACTACGTTTGGACTACTAAGGGATATTTATAGTAACTCGTGCTGAGGCCTGCTCTTTCTAGAAGGTGTTGGACCTATCCCTAAGTGATTTCCATCCTTTCCTATGTTCCAAACATCATTTTGGCGGTTATCGGAGTTATTTGGCTGTTATTTTTGACAGTTTCTCTTGGTTATCGGATCAGGCTACAATTTACTTTGAAGAGGGTATTCTAAATCTAGTTGTAAAGTATGATAAGTGTTTAAGCAAACTTGGCAACTATTTTATTTTATTTTATAACCGTCGTTGAACAGACGACCCAATTTTATGGCTTTACGACTACTAATGTTCAACTTCGTAGCCTTGTAATTTTGAACCAAATCCAGAAGACAAGGGAAATCCTGGATCGAGTATTGGAAGAAATTTGCCTTCGTAGAGGACTTTTTGATGGAGCTAACCCGCATTTGCGTTACATGGAGAGGAAGACCACGAGACCTCCCACGGTTAGCCTGACGGCAAGGGGACTCTAACCCATGATTCATCTAAAACTGAGGATATTTCACGTCAGTACTGTGGTCGGTGAAAGCCGGATGCGGAATTCGTATAGACTGGGAATCGAGCCCGGTTCTGGAAGGCGAACTCTCTATCCCCTGAGCCATCGCGGCTCTTGGCAACTATTTTGTAAAAAAGAGAAAGGTCTGTAGAATCAAGAAATACATTTGCTTCAAGTAAATTTTCTTTAATTTGGTTATTATTTTCAAAAGGCTCTTACTTAAAAAACAGCCCTCGCATTACTTTAAAAATTAAATTTTCAAACAAGAAAGAGGCAATGTTCCGTTGTAATACTGCCTTTTATTTATGTTTCAACGATTCGTAGTTGTCCTGATGCGATAAGCGAATAGATTCTTGCAAAATTGGCATGTCGTCTTCTCTCAAAGCCCAGTCTTGTTTCTCTGTGGTGGCAAATAATATGAATATTGTGGTTGAGATGACTAATATGATAACTGTTATTCCAAAAACGATGTACCACTGTGCCAGAGTTTGCTGAAATGATATTGATAATGTTATTGGAAAACAATTAATCGCAAAAAGCACAAATTAAGATAGTGTTGAAAATTAATATACATTGAAACGGAAAAAAAGCAAGAACTGGGAAGAACATAAATTAAAGTTAGCTTATTTTGAGGAAAAGTAAAATATCTATGACAGTCAAGATTTTACAAAAGCTTTACATATACATAGATGCCAACTTGCTCAGGTCAGCGGATAAATATTTTCGTGTGGTAGTCTTTCAATATGTGATTCTTGTTTTAGTAAATTTGATTTATAGGACTTTTACTCACGACTACTTCTAAATAATTCAAAGGCTGATATAAAACACCACTTTGTGTCAGCTGAGACGTGTTGAGCATTTTAAAAAAGTTGGCAGAATTTACCGAAAATATGCACATTTTAGTTTCTAGTTTTCTGCCGTTTTTTAAAACATTTTGTCCAATCCGGAGCTGTAGGCATCTCTGCATATATATGTCACGGGCAATGTAAATAATTGGGCATTGTTTATAATTCCCCGTCAATTTAAAAAGTGCCCAAAAGGATATGACAAAATGATAAATTATGTTGCAATTATTACATTGCCCGGTTATTATGTATAATGCTAAAAGTCAAGTGGGCAATTTGTGTCACACACAGCCACAGGGTGTCTTGGGATATTCATCCACTTTTAGATGCACCTGGATAATTTTTTTTAAAATTTTTTCCCGCACACGCGCTGTATAAAGCAACTACTTCAATTACTCTTATCTGGCGCAGTTTTTATTATTTTTTTTTAAATTTTAAAGCAATAATTTCGGTATCAGTTTAAAATTGATTCAAACGCTTTGTTTAATTTTTTAAAATATTTAAGCTATAGCAAACGTGGCACTAGACCTAGTATATATTTCGGACATTTACCAAAGGTCTAGTCATACTAGGTCTGGTTAAGTGCCATTGCCCGGTATATCCTACACTGATGTTTTTTTAAGGTCAAGTGCCACTGCCCGGTATACATTTGCCCGGTATACCCTACACTGATGTTATTTTAAGGTAAGCTCTAAAACTNATTAAATTGATTTACTATATTGTTACCAACTCAGTAAGCTACCTTCTGCGGAGATTTAGAATATATTTCTCCAAGTGGTAGCAAATATAATGTATTAATATTTAAATAAATTACAATTAAAAAAATATGCATAATCCGACATATAAATAAATTGAATAGATATACAAAAGGGGAACTAGATAAGGTGGTCATAAGTTTAAATTCTGACAAAAGTTTTCGAAAAACACTTTTTGTTTTAAATTTTCTGTTTTAGTTCACTACCGCTGGAAAAAATATTTAATGAAAAGCCTTAAATGTTGGAGGGTATGTCCTAATCATAAAACGTCAAAAAATGAAACTAATCCGCATTTGCGTTACATGGAGAGGAAGACCCCTAAAACCTCCTATGTTTAGCCTAGCAGCAGTGTTCTAACCCATGTTCCGTCTACCACTGAGGATATTTTACATGAGCATTTTATTTTATTTTATAACCATCGTTGAACAGCCGACCCAATTTTTGGATTTACGTCTACTAATGTTCAACTACGTAGCCTTGTAATCTTGAACTCAATCCAGACGACAAGGGAACTCCTGGATCAAGTATTGGGAGAAATTTGCCTTCGTGGAGGACTTTTTGATGGAACTGACCCCCATTTGCGTTACATGAAGAGGAAGACTACGAAAACTTCCCACGGTTAGCCTGACAGCAAGGGGAGTCTAACCCATGATCCGTCTACCACTGAGGATATTTCACGTCAGCACTGTGGTCGGTGCAAGCCGGATGCGGAATTCGTATCGCCCAGCCATCTCCGGGCCTGAGTCACTACGGCTCCAATAAAGGAATTGATTTATTATAGGATATTGGAGGACTTTGTGACCCCATCAGATTTAAAGTGCACTAGTCGTCATTTAATACATAGGGATTCTTCCACTGGCGGAATTCAAACTCCTGCTCTCGCGAACACAGGCACAACTTCAAATTTAAACCGATTTCCGCTTTGATACATTTAAAATTTGTGTCACTCGTAAACTCTAGATATGCTAAGATATCATTTTTTGAACAGTCGGCGTCCTTGATCTATATTTCCTTTAATTCTACTTACCAGTCGAAACAGTTTACAAAATAAGTAGCCCTTTAATGACGCTGTTGTAATTCATATTTAAATTCTCAATTTTTTAGTTAATTTAATTTTAGCATTTTCTAGTTCATTAAGATTACAATTTGATATTTGAATTCTTCCTCTTATTATTTAAATCCTATTCATTAATACAACGTGACGCTAACTGACTTTTTTAATAGTTAATTGATTATAATAAGAGAATATATTATTATAAACTTCTAAAATTAAGATTAAGTATCAGAGAATTTTCAATAATTTCAGAATTTTCTTAAAATTCGCAGATCTTAATTATATTTGCAACATGCAAATGAAATCTTACTTTGTTTTCCGTTAAAGCTCCAACTACAATGGGTGTTATGAAGCCTGTAACACTGGATATCCCATTAGTCAGTCCCATCAAAGTACCTATAAAATTTAAACAAAAGAAGAAACAAATGATTATAAGTAGCAATTCCTAATGTGAAGAATTTCTTTTAATTGTTGTAACTATATTAAAATCATCACCATCTTATTTGAAGTAGTTAAAACAAATATAGTTACTGAAATGTGAAAAAAAGGAATTCATAAATAAAATATTTTGTTCTGTGTATTATTTTACTGTAATCAAACGAGATTAAAAACAAGTCGATAAAACTAGAAGAAGTAAGAGTAACAGTAAGTGTTAAGTGTTGCTGTAAGTATTAAAAGTATATATATTTTAAGTTAGATACATTTACACATATTACAATTACACTATTGAAACTATTAGTTCTATCTACGTCGCTTGTTGTTTTTTGACTCAGCGGGAAAAAAAAAGGAATTAATATCTCACTTGTCTAGAGAGAAATGCCGGATGAGCAAATTTGATATAAGTGCTACACTGTATTAAACTTTACTTAGTATTAACTCTATCAACCTTCTTTCAATTTATTTAATTCAGCGTAAAAATAATCTTTCACTTAATAACACAGTTTGACGAGTATATAAATATATGTCAAACAATTTAATTTTTATATAGTATATTCACTAAATAGCTTATAACTAATCCTGAAGTCTCAGTTTTGGCTTCATACGATAGAACTTAAATAATTTCCCTATACCTCACTTGTATAGGTATTCTCTTTGTAGTAAAATATAACGTTCCCATCTGACATTCACTCCCTCACTAAACAAATTAAAGATGGCGGCTAACGCTTACGTTGGAGGCAAACTTCGTAAATATATTAGTCGTTAACGGAACACTTTCTTTTAAAACATATTTTCCAAACTTTTTCCTATTTCCTTAGGAATTGGTTACTACTAAGCAAAATATTAAATTAAATGCTAAGGAATAGACTTATTTAGGTCCAATTATGTTTTCACTTCTAATTTTAAGAAATAAATATGAAAAATAAGCTTATTTTTACCTTTCTAGAGACTTTATTACAGAGTTCTGACGAATTTTTTTCAAAAAATATTTAGAAATTGATTGATGGTAAAGTACTGTACATAACGCATAACGGGCAAGACGCATAACGAACTAGAGCTGCATAACGGGCTATTAGCGATGGTTTGGGAGTCATCTCTGAGGATAATCCAGAGAAAATATACATACATCACATCCCGTTTTACAAAGAGGACTCATTCACACACCGTCCATCCTTCCGTTTCGTAATTTTTACCTGAAACACAGCACGATCAATCTCTGATTCAGTATCCTAGTTATTTGTCATGGGAGCGTAGTGGACTTAGTGACCCTAACAGATGTAGTATGCACTTGTTGCCATTTTATATACGGGGAGGGGTTTATCTCTCAGACATGTTCCCAATGCTCCTGTGAACCAGTCAGGCTATCCCAGCCGTATTGTTGACGGAAAATGGTATCAAATTAAGATACTTTATGTTTTTGCAATTACTATAATACCTTATTTTGTCAAAAACATAATGCACATATTTGTTGCAACTTCTTTCAATGCTTTAAGTTTTAAAGTGATAAGAAAATAACGTGAAATAGCATTTTGAAAATATTCGACCACCAATGAAAATTTTTAAGGACGAGAGTTCTCTTGGCTTATGGGTCAAAGAACTGCATTTCATATGCATAGTTACTTAACAAAAGATTGATTTATAATATGGACTTTATCTATCACCCACAGAAGAAAGGATTGAGATGATACGAACATTGTTAAACTTAAACATCTTTACCATACTGAACGGTTTATTAACCACGAAACCAATTGAGTGCTCATTTAATGAATCTTACCTGCGTATTCAGGAGACATGTCCAGGTGTGTAAGCATGTATCCACAACTGCAGAAACTTCCAAATATGACTGCCAGCATCAAGAAAGCAACGCACAGAGTGACGTTGCAGCCAGCTAAGCCAACTCCCACAAATAAAAGAGCAGGAACAAATCCGGCTGGAAAAAATAATCACTGTTAACGCATTCAAAGCAACTCTAACTACAGGGTGTCTCACAGCTTGGAGCATAGGTAGGGTATTTCCTAAGGATTGTCTATTGCCGGAAATCTCTTCGAAATCTTAATGAGTAAATTAGATTATAACAGCTACTTTCAGTCCTATTTAAATGCAGTTTTTCATAAGAAGTATTAGAAAGCATAAAATTAACATAAATATAAGATATTTAAATCAATAAATATATCTTTTCAAAGCGCAGAAATATACAGTCTATAAATGGCAGTGTTCCTAGAGGCATATGAGAACAGTTCCGGCCATGGCTTACTAGCATTTCACAATCCTTAAGATGTGTGCCCCTTCCCATTAATAGTATGTACGCGAAGTTTCTGCACGCTTTATATATCGCATAACTTTCTACAAATGGCATACGTTCAGTTATTGGATATGATTTCTAGCGCTTTTGACATAAAAAGTGTCTTAAAGGTGTTGCGTCAAAGCTTTGGGGAAAATATTCTATATCATAAAGATTGGGGGAATGCAAAGTAATCTGACCCGGTGATGGCGGCTCACCCTAATGGTTTTCTCAAATCGTTTCTTTTTCTTCTTCTTCTAGTGGCCTGCGCTGCTAACATCTCCTCTCCCTTACCGAGTGGTCGGTATACTGAGTTCAAAACAAACCTTGTGACCATCCCTCCAACTTTAATCATACAGTAAAACATTTTTTTGACAAAAACGTGATCTTGTTAATAATATTCACCAGAGGCAAGAGTGCGGTGGAGGGCATGGAATATGCCAAAGAGTGTTCCTCCATTTTTTGATCAATATTCATTTAATAATAAGTTTTTATATGTAGTAATTTTTTTTCCTTCTGTAATTTTAAAATACAAACTTTATTCAAACTACGAAAAAATATTTTGATTTGTACATTTTAATGTGAAAAGGGTTTTTTAATGTCTTGAAAATCGGTCTAAATTTTGATTAGACCGATGCTATTTTTTTCACGAATATTGGTTAAAAGGTTGAAGAAAAAAATATTTGATGCCTCTTTGTCACCTTAAGTCGGTTAAAAAGTGAAAATTCTCGGTGCAATACTTGCTGTTCTGCTGCAGACACGAAATACCAAATTTTAATTAAATANTTTTTTAGACAATTTGTTACAATAAGGTACAATTTATAACAATAATAATATTCTTTCCACTTACCCAGCCCAGCACAAAATTTTCGTGTGAAGTTAAGGGTCGCATATCCTTTTCTGACCACTAAATCACACACAAAACCGAGGACAAGGACAAAACCGGTCTCTAGAAAATATGGCATCGATGACAAGTAGCCATTCTGTGAAGTAAAAACATTTGAATGGTGAGTTATAGATTTTCATATAACTCACTGTATACACTATCTTAATTCTATAATACGCATTTTTACTACCATAATAATTTTCGCATTTAAGCATATTTTAAAATTTAATTAATCAATGTAATTAAAATTAATAAAAAGGTGACAGAGTCGTTATGACCCATTCGCAGTTGAGAGAACTTCGGTTCCCTCCCAGCATACTAAGGTGAAACGTAATTGAGCGCGTACATCAGAATCATTTTAGTCCTGTCCTCAGAAGAAAGAGGAATATTTTCTTCCTAGCATATCTCCTTGTTATTTTAATGGAAGAAAATGGATGCGAGTACCTTAAAGTCAAAAATCATAAAGATATTCCAGGCCATGACTTTAGATGCTCATACAGAATCTGACAGATCCAGTGATTTTTTTTCAGAGCTTTCAATTGCTCGAAATAAAATATTGCTCCATATTTCTTTATTCAAATGCAAAAAATTCACAAATTGAAAAAAATTTGAAAGAAAAATTTTGCACATTACTAATGTTTTGCATTATTAAATGCTTAAAATAAGTTTTTTTATCAATTTGTTTAATAGTTGTGTTATAATGATCAATTTGTTTAATAGTTGTGTTATAATGATGAATTATTTTGTGATTTGAGAGGAAGTTATTCAGTGATTTAAGAGGAAATATCGAAGTGTAATATTATGGCAAAAATATCGACAAAATAGTCGCGTTATGATAACCAATAACTTAGTTATGATAGATGCAACTTAGTTATTCAATATTGAAATGCGAAATTTTGGCAAAAAATGTCAGCAAAATAGTTGTGATAATTACACAGTGATGAGAAATGAAACTTACTTTTTCAGTATCAAAGTGCCATATTGGGATCAGAAAATATCGACAGAATAGTTGTGTTATAATAAACAATTACTCAGTGATTAGATATGAAAATAACTTTTTTATTATCGAAATGTGGCAGAAAATATCTGCAGAATAATTGGGTTATAGTAACCCATTGTTCAGTGATGTGAGATTAAACTTACTTTTTCAATATCGAAGTGTGACATTGTGGCAAAATAGTTGCGTCATGGTAACTCATTATTCAGTGATGAGAGAGGAAATTTGCTTTTTCAATGTCGTAATCTAATATTGTGGCAAAAAATGTCGTCGAAATATTTGTGTTACAGCAGAATACTCGATGAAGAGAGGTGAGACTTACCTTTTCAATATCAAAGTGCAATATTGTGGCAAAAAATGTCGGCAAGTCATTGAGAAGAGTATAGAAACTCCAATCCATCCCAATCTGGTTGATCGTAAGAGCCCAGAATGGAATTGAAGTCAGGACTTTACTCCATGGGAATGGAGGTAACTGCAGAACAATAAAAACGATTAATCCATTTTGCCGCAAAACAATTATTCCTTTTTAATGCCGCGAAGAATATCAATATTTTACTTTTAAATAAGATAATTCACAAAATTGATTTTCATAAGAAGAGTGAAAAATAAATTTTTTTTTCTATGAAAGTACAATTTAGAATAATATTTCTACAGCTTGACAAATTTTTAGAGCGTCAAATAATTTTCTGGTACGATTTGTTGGTTATGGTGGTTACTTACTTATCCTCTTCGTGCCAATCTGGCCAACGCCTCCTACAACTGAAAGCTTCCACACGGGTTTTTTATAGGTAGTCCGATCAGACCACTATGAAGGTAAACCGTTTTACGAAAAAGCTCTTTAATACAAAATCTAGCAAACATAAGAAAGTGGTAGCAAATATATGTCAAAAAATTTGTTTAATTTACGAATACGATAGATTTGTCTTATTTACTTGTATACCACTACAGATTCAGTTCTCAAATATGTATGATAGATTTCTCTCAAGTGCTTTTAAAATAAAATTTGGGCTCATGCGCACAACCGGTTCACTTTTTAAATAGTCTGCGCGAACTATTTATGAAAAACCGTGTGGAAGCTATCTTAGGAGGTGATGATCTGGCACATAAGAACTCGAGTCTTTTTCTCCACACACTCCTGTTTCTCGCCAGGCAACGCGTTTCTTCCCATCCAGTTAATCCTGCTCTTCTAGGATCTTCCTTGATGCTTCTTTGCCATGTAAGTCTCGGTTTCCCTCTTTTTCACGTTCCATCAGGAGCCCATGAGCTTGCAACATTTGCAGGATTATTTCTATCTGTTCTTAGTATATGGCAGATCCCACTCCACCTTAGTTTAAAAATTTCTTCATTAACAGATGGGACATTAGCTTTCGCTAAAAGGTGTTTATTTGGTATACTATTGGGCTAGAAGATTTTTAGTATTATTTTCAAGCATCTATTGTGAAAATTTTAAGTTTTTTTCTTTTTCTGATTACCGGGGACTCCAGCATTCGGCACCATACCGAAGGATGGAACGCACGGTAGCGTTATGGACACTCATTTTTGTTTTTTATTTTATATTTGAGGCTTGCCAAATGCCGCGAAGAATATCAATATCTTACTTTAAAATAAGTTAATTCAATAAATTGATTCTCTTAAAACAAATAAAAGAAAATTTTCCTCCTGAAACCACAATTTAGAATAATATTTCCATAGTTTGGCAACTTTTTAGAGCATTCTGGAAAAAGAAATTTCTTTGTTAAACATTATAGACACATGATAAAGTTCAAAAGAATATCATTAAAAGAGTAAAATAATATTTTCTTCTTTTAACAAATTTTCTTTTCAATTTACACAAATTTCCATTTTAATTAGTACAAATTATTTTCATGTACGATTTGTTGGTTATGGTGGTTAAGTTGTACTAAATTAAAGCCCACGAATTGAACAAAGAATTAACTATTTAAACATACATTTATTATTCCATCCTGGAAAATGACATTATCCGAGGATTGAGATACGATTCTGATTCGAATTCTGTGTTTTTCGACTGGGCTCTTAGATTTATCTTAACCGGCAGCATGTGAATCTTTAATCATAATTAACATTAACGTAATAAGACTTTATTGAAGAGTATTACTAAAAGTATTGAATACAGTACAGCAAACTGAGAATATTATGTTTCAAATTGCAAACAAATTAGACAACGAAAACCAAAGCATAATGGCTACGCGTATTTGATACCAATCTTGAACATATTATGTTAAATTTGAGATAATTTGATTAAATACATGGTTAACATAATTGATTTTATAAATCTTATGGAGTACCTTTACGTTTTGTGAAATTTTTTGATTTGATGCGATGTATTCTGACTCCTTACTTGTAATGCACGGATGTGTATGAGGAGTATCGGTGACTAAGGCCGACCACAGAATGAACCAAAGACAAGCAGCCAGACCTGAAAGAAGAATGTATTATTTTCAAATTTCGAACAGCAATTTATGAATTTCAAGTAAGTATTTCTCAATTCTGCAATATTATATGCTTTTATTTTTTAAAAGTATCATCGTGTAGAATGTTTTCGATTTTTTTAACCATCTTTCTTTAGACTATGAGTCCTGTAGCATTAGGGTTTGAAATTTCATAACGACAAGTATTCAAAGCATTGATTGCCAGACAAATGGCCCTGCGTCAGTCTTTATTTATTCTGTATAATAAATAATAGAAATGAGAGATGTATATAGAAAAAAATACAAACTCGCAAGTTTGAAAAACCTTTAAAATGCTTGGAAAAATCAGCAGCCTGAAGGTAAATTTAGCGTATAAATTATGCAGGGCGAAAAAAAAATTATTGATTATTTGAATTATCAAATGAAAGAAAAACGGAAGTAGACAGAAATATGCTGCTGTTGTGCTTTGCTTAGGAAACAAGTTACTTTTTCTCGGCAAGTTTCAAAATTTGTTACAAATTTCACCAACAGATGGCCCTTTAAACTTAGAAAACTAAATGATTTGTTGCGCAATATAAATTACTTCGCTTTTTTTTGTATGACACAAAACATTTGCGAATAAAATTATGGGAGGAAAGTATTGTAAAGAAAAATGAAAAAAAAAGTATTTAGGTGAATAAGAAATGAAATTTTTTTATTTTTTGCGTTATTTTTAACAAAACTAAAATATAATTCGGTAGAGAAAGAATTTCGTTACCAGTTACGTAAAATGATGATGGCCAGCCCCCGAGGAAGTCAGATTTGCATAAAACACCCGCAGTAGCCATTCCTGCAACGCTGCCCAGATTGATGCCACAGTAAATGGCGGATGACAGGAAGCTCTTTTCTGTGTCCGGCAACCAACGTCCAAGCATGGAATGAATGGAGGGGAACACCACTCCCTGAATATATTCAAAAATTATTAACAAATTAGATTTTTAATATAGTATTTGTAATAGAATTGCCATTCATTTAACCCCTTGGGGACGGATGATTCAGAAAAGCATTCGTACAAAATCAGAATCAGGATGTAATTAAATAAAAAACGGTAACTAAATGTAGTCGCTGCTAATTTGACAGACTTTCTTTGCTTTTACTTTAATTATTGTTTGTTTAATCATACATATAATCAACGTTAATTCAAAGTATAACTAAATAGTTTTATTTTGAACAAAGTAATGGTGAATTAAATAAATCAAACAATTATAACTCCGCCCACAAATAAACTGCTAAAGAAATACTTTGATTACCAGTTTTATCTTTTTACCCTGGTTGATACGGTTTTATGCTGGCACGTATTTGTGACAGTCGGCGAGAAAGGGTTAAAAGGTGTTCTTTGAAAATTATTTAAAAAAAATGGAGAAAACAAGAGTCACAGTTTGAATTACCTGACCCATTAATGATCGTCCATCCTTATTCTGATCTTTCCAACAGGTACCAGGGGCCTTATCCGGTCACAGAAATTTATTTTTATACATTCGCTGTTACTCATACAGGTTTGTGTGTTCATTTTAAGGCTCAACCAAAAAGTTCTTGCCAAATTGTAGAACAGATTAAGTAAGAGAATTAAATTCCAAATATATATCTAAGATTACGATCAGACTCAGATCCGCTACCTCCACGCTAAGGCGCCTCTAGCGGAGAGGCGACATCGCTTGGACAGGGAGTCCCACTCTCTAATTGTTTGATTGGTCACCTGGGGCTACTTGTGGGGAATGCTTTATCTTGATTAAAGGGCCGTTGTCTTGACTTGATACTAATTCCTGAGTTCCTTGGGCCGCTTGCGGCTCTCTTCCTCTCACTTAAATTTGTTTCCTTTGTCTGGTATGATGTATAAGAGAATGCAAATGTGATGAAAGACAATCCCCCATCAAGAAGTTTTAAGATCAAAGTATAAGACATATCTATGTACAGTTGAGATGATGAAGCGATGGAACTGTGAAATAAAAGCAAAATTGAAGTAAGTTGATTATATACATGTTTACAGAATTATTCACAGGGGCATCACATTTTGAAGGCTTGCGAAGGAAGCGTCATCAAAGTGAAATGAAGCAATTGACCTTATTGAGATATCTTCTCTCAGATTCCCAAATGTAAAAAAAGAATTAAAATTGGCATCATCACATTTTGACAAAAAAAGATCGTGCAATAAGTGGGCCAGAATGGCTTCATCAAGCTGAGCACCGTAAGGAAAAGGTTAGCTTCACAATGTGTTCGTCAAGTGGATCTATCTTGAGATCTCTAGGCAGGTCTCTATTTCTGATGAACCATTGAGCCAAGCTTATTATTTGTTTGGGCAGGTGCTGAGTTTGTCAACTAAAGATGGCGAAATTTTAACCCAAGCATGAGTTAATTTCGGTCTTATTTTGGGCAGGTACAATAATCTTTTTAGTTTAATCTCCATGTTGGAATGGTAGAGGATAGCTTGTTATTTTTTACTTGTCGCATGCATTATGACGTTTTGTACATGGTCTTTTCACATAAATTTTTTAATTCATGTAAGTCCAAGATATTTGGCCATGATGACGATGGGGATGGTCTCATCGAAGAATACAAGATGATTTTGAATAAGCAGCTGTTGGATTTCAGATACAAATATAAATACAAATATAATATGTATTTGTTCCATTGATGTATTATGGTAGACAGAACTATGATGTTTCCACAATCTAAATATTGTTAAATAATCACTTGTGTTATATTCTGTGGCTGGTTAAGAAAAAAACTATTATCCCTACATAGAGAGACTGTTTGCATCCAAGTAAGCGCCAAATGAATGCCAAGATCGCAGTATATCAGTTCTTGAAGGAACGACGTTGCACAGCCTTCTTTTTGCTTGCCTTTTTAAATCGTGTGAAATGAAAATGAATAAAAAGAAACTTATTGAATAAGAATGATTTTTTTGTTTCTTTTCCTTTAAATTAGAAAATTGCATTTTATTTAAATAATAGAAACTGATAAAAGAATAATAAATATTGTTTCTTGCAGACGATTTTCTAAATAAATTAAATAAAATTAAAAATTCTTTAACTCCTATTTGATGTGTTAAGGGCGTGTCAACATAAGACGCGCCATTTCTTACTGGTCCAATCAAATCCAATGCTCTTAGGCCGGGGTAGCCTGGTTGGTAAGGCACTGGGCCCATGTCGAAGTGATCGTGGGTTCGATCCCCCCGACCGAAGACTCCCCGTGTAGCAAATGGTGACAGATACACGTTAAATCTGTCTGGTCACGAAGTCCTCCGTGTTTACATAACAAATCTATACCTCTGGTGGTACTGGTAAAGGAGATCCCTTGTCTTCTGGATTGGGATCAACCTTACAAGGATACGGAGTTGAACATTGGGAGTCGTAAATCCAGAATTGGATCTGCAGTTCAACGACGGTATATATATATAATAAAATAATGTAATAAAAAGTAATAAAATAAAATCCAATGCTCTTGCAACTTCATGAAGTTGTTTCTTTTTCAAGAACGAATGTTCTCCTTATTTATCGAAATATGCCGTCAAGTCTTGGATTCCAGTTAAACTACAAAAATATAACTTTTTTTTTAATAATTCTGTGACATATAGTAAGAGATAGAAAGAATAAAACTTATGTCTGATGTGTTTAATTTTTAAAAGCTGTTATAGTGTTTTGAAAGCATATTTGCATAATTTGAAAACTAAATGAAAGGGAATTATATGCTGTCGCGGATTATTAACTAAATCTTATATTGCAATGGCCATTTTTTAATTTGTGACTGAGTATTACACCTTTTTCAGTTCTAATAAGAAAGACGATCGAATAGTCTTTTGAAAAAAAAAACCCTCAAATAATATAAACTTGAAGTAATCTTGCATTTAAAATTTTATCAGGGTTGTCTCGACCGGGAAAAAATAAATAAATGGTGATTTTTAGTGACAGTGTCATTTATCCAGAGCTCCTTAAAATATGTATGAAAAGATTCTCGACTTATGGTTCATCATTAGTACAGCTGATGTTACCATATTACTGTTGGCCTTATGAACCCAATACTATTAGATCCCGATTTAATTTCATTTAAATAATCTCAGGCCACCAAATCTAAAATTTAACAACGATCATTAAATTGATATGATATCTCATCGTCATTTTAAACCAAAAGATGATATTGTATCATTATTTTAAATAAATGAATAAAATATAAGTTTTAAACAAGTATTTCTTTAAACTTTATTATTTTATAACCGTCGTTGAACAGCCGATCTAATGTTCGAGTTCACGACTACTAATATTCAACTCCACAGCCTTGTAATTTTCAAGCCAATCCAGACGACAAGGGAACTCCTGGATAAAGTATTGTAAGAAATTTGCCTTCGTGAAGGAATTTTTGAGGGAGAACTAACCCATATTTGCTTTATACCAGGGATGGGGAAACTACGTCCCGCGGGCCAACTGTGGCCCACTGGAAGATTTTATCCGGCCCGCGGATAGAATTTTTATTTGCCGATCAGCGGCAAATATAAACAATATACATCCATTTTATTGTCGACTATGTTTAAAATTATTTCTGTTTTTCCTTTTTTAACAAAGTACTGATGACATTTTTACTTTCTCTATTTTTGTTCTACAAAACATAAATTGATGGAAATAGTTAGCACAGACAGCTTCAATTGGTAAAATNAGACGAAAAAGCATAGATTTTCTTACAAAATGACTGATAACTAAAAAACTAATCCAAATTTTTGAAAAAGAAAAAAAATACTTCTTCATTATGTCAAAACACAATTATGTGTCGAGTTTCGAGCCTGGGCGAGGCTTCTGGGGCGATATATTGTGATTACAGACACACACACACACACACACACACAGCCGCTTTTATTATTATGTATATAGATGTATATAGATGTATAGATAACCGTCGTTGAACAGCCGATCTAATGTTCGAGTTTACGACTACTAATATTCAACTCCACAGCCTTGTAATTTTCAAGCCAATCCAGACGACAAGGGAACTCCTGGATAAAGTATTGTAAGAAATTTGCCTTCGTGAAGGAATTTTTGACTAACCCATATTTGCTTTATACGGTGAGGAAAACTACTGAAACCTCCCATAGTTAGCTTTAATGGCAAAGGGAGTTTAACCCATAATCAGTCTACCACTGAGGATATTTTACGTCTGCCGGCGCGAGCCGGATTTTGAATTCAAATCCCAGCCATCGCTGGGATCGATTCCGGGTCACCTCGTTGGGAGGTGAACGCTCTACCCCCAGAGCCTTGACTCTTAGTTTAATTTTTATTCTGCTTCAGAATTTACTTGAATGATCCCTCACCAATTTGGCTATTATGATTTTCTGATATGGCCTTAGTTCCGTGGATGTAGGATTGTCAGGGCCGTTTACGGTAATAGCTCGGTATTTAAGTATATATATATAAGCAATACATTTTAAATTCATAAGTAATAAGAGAAAATTTAAAACTTTGGTTACCTGTGCCACTCCCTGCAGGGCTCTGATAGCGATAAGTGCAATTACATCAAAACGAGCGACTACTGGGGTCAAGAGGGACAACAGGGCTGATGCTATAGTTCCTAAGCCGAAAACCCATTTAGCACTGTAAATCTCTGACAGTCTTCCAGCTGGAACTTGCATGACACTGTAACCGTAATAGAAAGCACCTAACACATGTCCTTGTATTTGAGGCGTCCAAGCAAATTCTCCTTCCTGCAACAATTATTTTTTTCCATACATTTCAAAGAACAAAAAATGAATAATATTATAATATATTATATACAATAATTTGATTATATACCTACTCCATGCATAAGCGAATGTGAAATAAAATAATTTAACGGAAAATGGAAGGACATTATACTTAGGAAACAGAAAAAAATATTTATCAACATTAGCTGCGCATTTCATCAACAGATGGTGCTGATGACTAGAAAATCTATAGGACACTATTTTTTACCGCATGTCGGACTTTTCCAACTGAAATATTTGCATGGGCGATTCTCAGTTCCATGCAACGCTGTTGGTGCAAATTGTGATTATTTTGAAAAGATTGTAACTTTTCTCAGTCTTATCTTGAACAGGACTTAATGTTCATGTATTCGTTGAATGGAATAAATGGGCATTTTATAGAATGAGGTTGGCTTTCTGGCCAGTATGAAACATGATAGTTGTTATTATATGCTGTTCATTGTATATAGTGCTTTTCATAATTAATTCTATAGGATTCCTAACAAAGTGAGAAAAAAATAACATTTCGGTTGATTTTATGTATTCAGCACAATGACAATGAATCCAGAATACTTCATATATTGATGATTAACGTATATGTTCAGAGATGATGACTACGCCGCTATATGCAAAATATTTTTTTTCAAAAGTGGTAGACATGTAAAAATAAAAATTTACGTTATTTCAGTTAATTCGGCTATTGTTTTAGAAAGCTCATCACAACATAATTTGATCCAAGGGGAGTTTTGGATCAATTATTCTAATTGTATCCTTAGTGGTGGGCAAAATATTTTTAAAATAAATTATACTAAACTATGAATCGTACATCAAAGCATACATTTTGCTACCACTTGCATACCTGCCAACTTTTATGCATTTGGAGTAAAATTTTATTTTCATATTTAAAGTGGTAGTAAATACAATTTTTTTCTTTTTTAAACTTAATTGTTGAATGATTTTGATCACCACTATTCTTGAAAAAATTAAGCAAATATATTAATATGTGTTACTATCATAGCTGTTAGCTTAAGCTTACATATTTTACAACGTATTTTTTTTCTTAAAATGGAAATTTTAATTCCATTTTATTACCGCTGGGAAAAATCATAATGGAAGGGATTAAAAGTTGGCAGGTATGCACTTGGAACATTTTGCCCACAGAGTGGATCGAGTTGGTTTTCCGTTTATCTTTAACTTATTTGAATAATGTAATTTCTAAAATCAATTTAAATGAAATGTTTATCGTTAAAATTTACTGCCATTTGAAATATTGGAGAAAAATTCCAAAAAAGGAAGGAAAAAAAACGGAAAAGCTGTAATACATTTTTTTTCTCAATTAAAGATATATAAAGACCGCGGGAGAAAATTGGTTTATCTCTATAAACACTGATTAGGAGAAAAAAAGTAATGTGACGTGCAGGAAGAGTTTTTTCACAATACTACCGTCCATTTTCACTGTGTAATAACTCTCGAGGAGAACCGATTTTACACGTTTTTAATTTAGTAATTTAGTAAAATACAACGGATAGTATAGGATTTAGTAAAATTCAAAATTTAGTAATTAGTAAAATACAACGGATCGCGATATACTAGTCATTTCTTTGAAAAATAAACATAAACTTTTCTTCTTCTTTGGTGTTTAGATTTCATCTTTAATCGGTACTCGAAATACAAAAAATCTCTCCTGCAACTGGTAAAAAACACATAAATTTTAGTAATATTGCAATAAAACTATACAAACATTTTAAATTTTTGATTTACAAATTTTTGTGGATGCAAAAAGTACTAAAAATTTAAAAAGTATGAAAATGTACGTCTATATACCCTTGGCTGAATCTTTAAGAAACTGCTGTTACTAAAAAACTCAGGATGTTCACTGCATTCATGTGACGTAACGTTCTCGTGAGTGCTATAAACAGCAGAGTTGTTCACCATGGCAACTATGGCGACATTGATGTTTACTCTCAGGGATAAGTTGACAAAACAACCTAAGAATGCGACTAAGGAGAACACATAACGCATTCCTGGCATACCTGGAACAGGAAAAGCAAATTACAGTTACAAGAGATCATCACAGCCTGTACTCAAGATGTGGCTGTCAGCCACCATCGGCATCTATTAAATACATACCCAGTCTACGTGTTAAAATTTCATATCTTAATGTTTTTATAACCTTTGTTGAACAGCCGACTCAATTTAGAGTTCACGGCTACTAATGTTCAACTCCATAGCCTTGTCATTTTGAACCGAATCCAGAAGACAAGAGAACTCCTGGATCAAGTATTTTGAGAAATTTGCCTTCGTGGTAGACTTTTTGATGCAACTAGGCCGCATTTGCGTTACATGGAGAGGAAAACCTTCCACAGTTAGCCTGACGGCAAGGGGACTCTAACCCATGATCCGTCTACCCCTGAGGATATTTTACGTCAGCACTGATATTTATAAAATACCAACAATACTGAAAGCTTTAGTTTTAATATTTTTACCACTCCATAATATATTTTTAAAAATTCAATAGTTGTCCGCCGTACATTCCGTGACAGTTGCAGCAATACCAACTGTTCTGTTTTCAGCAAGAAAATATTGTTAAATCTTGCGGATTCATAACGGTTATACTTAAAAATGGGCACATAGAAGATAATTGCTACAAAAATTCATATAATATGATGCTTTGAATTTTTGATAAACAGTGGTTGAAAAGTTACGGAAGGTACGTACTTTATTCCGCAGTAAAAAATGGCATATATATAGAAAACATTTTGTGAAAAAAGTGGTAGTGGTAGTGCCTATTTGTTTATATCTGTTGTATATTTTTTTCGTGTTACATATTATTTTAGATCTAAATAGGCACTGTTCGTTAACTTCAGATTCAAATATAAAATTTATAATATTATAATATACAATGGTAACAGAAGTATGTAATTTCTGCAAACAAAATTTTAATAATGAGACACTTGTGCCACTACTTTTTCCTTTTTCCATAAAATAAACCGTCCTTTTAAAAGAACGCTAGACCAAAAAGGGGTTAGGTAAGTAATATTTTGAGCTATAATGCTTCTGGGGTTGAGATCAGTGGTCAGAAGTAGCTCACAATAAGTAGTGAAACTACTTTAGTAGCTACTTCTTTTCGTAGTGAAGCTAGATACTTTTAAAAAAAATGTGTAGTGAGTAGTGCTATACAAAAAACAGGAGTTTGGAGCGATTCCTGGCAAATATTTTTAGCGTCAGTTTTGTAAAGAAACAAGGCTCCAACGCAAATAATTTATCGAATTTGATGGGTACAAATCTTTGCAATAGATGCACTGAAAATAACCCTGTAACTGCAGCTGAACGTTAACTGGAATAACATATCTAGACTCATCTCTAACTAACATTTAAACTAGTCATTACTAAAAAATAGATATTTAATCATACACACAGTCACTCTTTCACATGTGAATGCACTCTCGTTAAAGCAATGCAAGTGTTTGTTAATTTCGAATTTCTTTAAATGGATATTCGCTATCGTAAAAGGCATAAAAAGTTGAAGGTTAAATGAGCAAATTCGAATTTTTTTTTTGGAATAATAAATTGTTTTATGTAAATATAAGTAAATATTTATAACAAAAATTCTTGAAGTTTAATATTAGCCAACTTCTTATTCAAAACCATTTTGAACATATGTGCAAAAATAATTACTTCAGCAAAGTTTTATACCTTAAAGTAGAAGTGGTCTTAACAAATCAAAAGTAGTTTGTGGTCACTACATTTAAAAAAAAGTAGTGGTAGCTAGCTACACTTGTAACAAAGTATTTTTAGTTATAGTAAACTACAAAAATAATGTAGTTTTTCCAACTATTGGCTAAGATAAGGAAAGGCAGTTTATTTTTCATTTTCATAACCATACTTCTAACAACAAACACAAATCTTAGGTATTAGGTAATGCTACTGTTCGTGGGAATTTGACCAACAATAAAAAATGACTTTACTTATTATTTATTCACAGAGCAATTTAAGATTGATATATTTATTCGAACATAAACTTAGCATTGTCTTCGAAATGGAATGCTACTCGATTTCAAAGTTAATTTATAAAGTAACTTTTAAAATTCGAATAACTTACCATACTTTTTAGCGTTCATTTTCATGAATAAAAGTCGATAAACATGGAGAGCATATTTCTTGGGCTAAAAAATAAGAAAATATTCAGAATAAGGTTTCAAAATTCTTTCAAAATTTTTTATTTCTTTCGGAAGGAATTTTTAAGAAACATTAAATTTCATGCCTACCAAATCTTCCTGCTTTTCCAAAAGATTTAAATTTTATACATTAACTCTTTTCATTTTATTAGATTTAATATAATTTAAAATGATTTTATGTACCACTACTTTTAAATAATTAAGAAATAAACTATAATTTGCCTGCAAGAATAGTTAAGAGTCAGCTAAGTTTTAGCGAAACACAATTTCCCTATCACAAGCACAAACTTTTTTGAAAAGTGCGAAAAATATCAGAATTAACAATACGTTTTATGTCAAACATTTATATACCACTATAAAAATTTTGAGGAATCACTAGACGCCCTATAGTATTATGAACAAAATTTGATTAGAATGGTGCAGTTGGTAGCCCTATAGCAATCGGGCAGTTGTAGGATCAGAGGTTAGAGTGGCTTTCCAAAATATTTATTGTGGTGGCAAATTATGTATCGTAAAATATGCTTCTTATTTTTAAATACTTATCATCAACCCTTTCTGATTATCATAAAAATTTGCTTGGGCCTTGAAAATTTTAAAAAGTGGTAAAGAAAATGAAACAAATGTCAATATTTCAACTTATGTGTAACCACCACTAAAAATTGCTTTCTAAAGAAAGTATATATTCATGCAACACCCAATTTATAATGTGATACCATACCTGCCAACTCTTCCGGATTTTCCGGAAGATTTTATTTTCATAATTAAAGTGGTAGTAAATATATACTATTTTTTCGTTTATGAATTTAATATTTAAATGATTTTGATCACCACTATTCTTACAAAAATTAAGCACATATATCAACAATACAACGTATTTGTTTGCTTATAATTGAAGTTTTAATTCCATTTTAATACCACTGGGAAAAATTATAATGGAAAGGATTAAAAGTTGGCAGGTATGTGATATATAAAGATAAGAAACATCGTCTATCATTATCTTAATTTTACTACCACTACTGAAACTTTTCAATAACCGCGGGAAACCTATGTGCAGTTAGACATCTGACACTACGATGCCAATCTTAGTTAAAAATATTTTCTAGTGGTAGCAAAATTTAATTTATTTTTAGTTCAGTATTTATCATTTTAAGTAATTTTTCCACCACGAAGTATCAAAACTATAATGTAACTATGCAAATGTAACTATATTGCAGTTATCTCGAAGTGATACTTTTAAAAAGTAGGCGTAATTATCCTTATTCTACAAGTTTTAATATTTAATTCACTTATAATTTTTTAAAGCTTTCACGGAAAGCGGAGCAGTTAGTATCCCTGCTGAAATAATCTTGGCAGTGATCGGAAAAAAATTAAAATTCCTTTTGCTTTGTTAACACTGGGGAAGGGGGACACGATTTATTTTTAGTTTTCCGTTGCACGAATTGTGCACGAATCTTAGATATTTTCTTGCCATAGATTACAAATTCAGAAATCTATTTCTCTGTACAAGTTTTTATAAAATTTTATTATATATACCTAACTACGATTTTATTAAATTCACTTGACTGAATACTAAGTGTCCTTACTTCTCTGCTACATAGGGAGTGGTACGAAGAAGACAATAATACATTTAATTTATGATGCTATAAAATAAGATCATATGTTTCTTTGTCTCAAGTGATATTTTTAAAGGAGCAGTTAAGTGCATTCTTCATAAGCTTGTACATTCAGACAGAAAATAAATTACACTAGAAAAAAAAATCCGTAGCTTTCGGAACAAAACTAATTTCAGATTTGAAATTTCTAGACTCGACTATTTTTGATTAAGTACTTGTATAAATACAGCAAAAATTTGTTTCCCAGAAGAATTTGTTTACGCGGTATCCGAGACATTTGAACCAATTTGAATTTAAATTGGGCTCTGAGATGCTGCAAGCGGCCCTTATCCGGACAAAAGTTGTATTCATACTAGTAAAGAGCAACTACCTTCGAGTAAACATTAAATATTCCAGTAAAATAAAACCTCTCAATCTAAGATTTGTTTCATAGAAAGCTTTTATAAATGATAACTGAAAATTTCACTACTTCCCCCTGTACGCTTGCCCCTTTTTTGAAAGAAATTAGAGCAATTGCAATTTATGCCAGCTGGTGTAACAATGGGGATGATTTCCGAACTACAGAACGATAATACAAAGCCACAAAGATTATCTTCAGCAACGAACAATTCAGCACATGGAGTGACCAGCTAGATCACTGGACTTGAATCCTATCGAGACGCGTATCTGCTGCCATTCCTCCTCTTCAGATACTTGCCACGCTTGCAACTGCTTTGCAAGAACAATGACTCGCACTTCCAACGAAACTAGCAGACTGCATAATTGAAAGCATTACACGTCACTGTATATGCTGCTAGATGTGGAACGATACAGCGCTGTCTCCATACTGCAAGTATTTCTTTTATTCCAAACTAACACATTTGGTTTATATTCATTTCTTTCATATGCTAATTCCTGTAACATCACAAATGTCTGGTTACTATTTACTTAATTTTTGTACTAATTATACTATCATTAATACATTCATTGAAATGTATGTATAATTTATGTACCATAATTAAAATTTCCATTTAATATTTAATTTGAAAGTCTACTGCAAAACTTAGTCGAAATAATACGTCAATGCAAGCAAACAAATTTTACGAAAAAAAATTCCAGTTGTTTTTAAATACATCCCATTTCTTCATTATTACAAACATCACATTTCTTGTAAACACATAATTTCTGTATAGAACGTAAATGTGTGAATCTCTACCTAAATTACTATTTTAACTTATAAAATATCAACTTTTTCATAATATTTTTCAAATAGGCAATGGTTGTTCACTCAATGCTTTCATTCTTGTAATTTAATTTTGAAAAATCGTAGACTCAAATTATTCAATAATATAATATTAAAATCCAAATTTTTTTAAAACTTAAGTGATTCCAGCTCTAATAAAAATTAAATTTTGTAACAATGAGTGTAACATTTATCTCAAACACAGAGTCACCAAATACATTACAAAACGTTACGTTTTCGTAACAGTAGTCAGATGGGAAAAAAATTCTTTCGCTATTAATCGAAATTTAGTACAGAATCAGCAGCTACTTGTCACTTAATAATGATGATGAATAGATAAACAAAGGAATAACGAAAATAACAAAATCAAACTACTATACCAGAGAAAAAGTGTAATATTTACCTAGAGCACGAAATCGTCGAACTAAGGAACGTTCTGACACTTACGTAAACAAAAACGAAAAACAAGACAAATATAAGGAAAAAAAAGCATAGGATTGTTTATGATTACTGAGATTACATAAGATTAATCTACGTTAAAAATAAATTCTTATCGGGAAAACCATCAAGTCCAGATTTCCGCAGAGTTCAACTCAAAATGAAGAACATAATGAGGGTTAAAAATTGAGATAACCATCTCAAATGTTACACAGTTGTAGATAGTGTCGTAATAACAATGAGAATGTTAATTAGAAATTCTTATCATATATCGATTTCACGCTTATCAATTTTTTTTTGTTGGTTACATCTTATTAAATATCAGATACAGTGAAAACTCACGGGAGCGACCACTCTCTATTATCCACTCCCCGTTGAAGGAGGTTGGTGGTTCCTTCATCGACTTCGAAATGTTATCGAAGGTTTATTTATTTTCACGAGCAAATTTAATTTTATTCAGTGAAGAATTAATTGTAATTCTTGGTTTAATAAATTCAATTTAGTAGATGTTTATCCATCACTATTTCTAAACAATTCTAATATAATTCTCCATATTTTTCAGGTAAGCGCAGCCCAAGTGCCCAATTTTTTTATAAATAAAGAAGAAAAGAAAGAAGAAGACCGATATATTATGCAAAACCCTTTAAAAAACTATCAAAATTTGTCTATTATTTGCAAATTTAGTTTGCAGTTAATTACAGTTTGGCCAGACGGGCAAAGCCATGCATAATTAGCGAGGCATTCAAGGTGTTAATTGAAAAATAACATATTTTAGGTCACTTTTGTTATGAAATTTTCGAATGTTTATGCTGTTAAAAAATTTCTAGCTCATTTTTATTATGGGAAATAAATTTTAGCTACTTTCCTTATATCGTTCTGGCGAAGAATCGAGAGATGAACAAGTATAATTCTCATATACTGGGATTGTTTGAGAAAAAAGTTAAGTTCTTGGATTTGATTGGAGAAATATATATTTTTCATCCTTTGGATTGAACAATTATTTATTTATTTTACTTTAAATTTTGCTTTACGCGTAGTACGTTTCTTTAAATTTTAAAGTAGCCTTTATACTCAATTTCTTACTTTACATTTACACATTGTACTTTATACTCTAATTTTCAATTTTTACTTCACATTATTTATTACTTTTTTTACTTTTATTTACATACTTTAGATTTCAGCAATACTTTACTTTATGTTCTACGCTTTACATATTTATTTTTTACTTTAACGTTTTACTTCGTAACTTACTTTACATTTTACTTCATGTTTTACTTTGCTGGATATTTTTATGCTCTACTTTATATTTCACACTTAACTTTATACTTTACGATTTTCTTTAAGCTTTACTTTATTTTGCTTTTTACTTGACATTTATTTACCTTATAATTTATGCATTACTGTATTTATAACTGATCAGGGCCTTACAATAAATAAAAATCTTAACTTAAATGATCATAGTAAGAAAATAATAGTTAAAACCATTAGAATATACACTAATTAAAAATGTCTACTAGCTCCCTTCTTCAAAATGTCACTTAAAAACAACGATACATATATGTCACATATAACAAACCTATAATTACTTATGCATCCCCTGCCTGGTGCAATTACAGCAATGTAAATGCTGACAAACTTAATGTTTTCCAAAATAAATTACTAAGAAAAATGTTTGGAGACCCATATTTTATTCAAAACAAATATAGACATAGAGATTTTAAATTAAAGACCTTAATTGAAACTTCAATGACACTTAATGCACAAATTGTATAAGAAATTCTCAGCCGCAAACTACAACACTATTTTTAAAGCAGATATGCTATTTGAAGATTCCAAAATTAGATTCCTAGTTCACTAGCGATACTTCTTTATCAGATAAATTAAATAAATTCTTTACTATTTTTAATCTTTTATTGATACTTACAATTTAATTTATAAATTTAAATTATAAGACTGATAGCGTTTGGCGCTGTAGTGATTCCTCTAACTGTTCATAACTCTGATTTCTTATGGGTGCTGCGATTCAGCCAATGGCGTTGCAATTGCAGCAAATATTTCAAAATTATTTTTACTTTGTCTATATCATGATTATTTTTCCTTTTATTTTCCTTTCTATTTTCAAAACACATGATGAAAATTACTTCACACATCAGGATAAAAAGGTGAGAGGCTCATTCGGGACCTTAAGGACTTGAGCAATAATATGATTAGGCAGTTTTTTCGTGATGACATTTAGAAAAAATAGATGTAATTATTCTACTTCTAGAAGTTCTACTATTTAATTCGCTACCAACCTATTACAACTTTTGCAGTAGGTAGAGCAGTTGGCATCTCTGTTTATGTTGTGATACGATGCGGATTCACAGTCCGAAACAAGCTGTTTTCACTTCCAAACTATTCATCACTGTTTAATTTTTTATTACCGTCGTTTAACAGCCTACCCGATTTTGGGTTTACGACTACTAAAGTTCAGCTGCGTAGCCTTGTAAGTTTGAACCCAATCCAGAAAACAGGAGAGTTACTGGATCAGAAAGAAGATTGAGTTATAGAAGATACTGGTGAGAAATTGGCCTTCCTGGAGGATTATTTTGATGAAACTAATCTGTATTTGCGTTACATTGAGAGGAAAAACCACGAAACCTTCCCATGGTTAGCCTGACGTCACAGGGACACTGTTTGATTTATCATTGGTAAAAAAAGCAGTCCTATATATATGTTATAACCTTAAAAAAACTTGGTAGTAAGTTTTATTTTTAATTTACCTTCTGCCCTGCGTTCTATGTGTCAACGATATTACTTGATTTTATAATCTCACCTAGTTGAAGTTTTCCGAAATTAATGTCCGCTCTCTACAGTGGTTAAGTCCAGAAAAGTCTACTTACAAAATATTTTAATTTAATATAACTTTGAAGACTTTGAGCAACTGAAGTAAAGGAGTAAATATCTACATAACGTGCTTTTAAGTGTACTTTTAATATCTATGTTTTACCTAAAAAACACATGTATATGTTACTGTGAATGACCGAAATTCGTGATTGTTGACAATCACATAGTCGGTAAATGTCCGAAATATATACCAGGTCTAGTTCCGCTGCCTGGCATACATTTGCCCGGTATGCCCTACATCAGTGTTATTTAAGATCAAGTACCATTGCCTAGCATGCATTTCACCGGCACTTCAAACAGTGATGTTTCTCCTAATCTATCCTCAGCAGATATTAAAATATTGAATAAATACAATAATATCAACGAATAATGTAATAATATCAACGAATATAAATTAACATCAGATCGGATATAACAAATGTTTCGGACATCCACAAAAGTGATTATGTGATTGTTGACATTCGCCGGTGAAAGTTGACATTCTCGTGATTTCGGTCAGTCACTTTAAGATAAACACGCCTAAATACAGCCTCCCATAAAATGTATTTGAGTACATCTGCGCGACGCTCGAACTACGCCGGTCATTTAAAATTTTGTGCGAATACCAATAACTCTGAAAAATGAAATAGAATAATTTACAGAACGTTTTCGCATGTAAAAACTGCACGAATCTTTCATTTAAATAAAATAACACATTGGAAGTTCATCTTACTTTACTGCACATCATTTTGTTTTAATCATCACTTTAACTAGTAAAAAAACGGTCAGTTGACAATCTTATTCAGTCAAGTTTAACTCTTTCGCCGTAAAGGTTCGAGATGATAAAATTGTTACTCTTGTTTAAACAGCGATTGAAATAAACAGCTGCGATAAAGTAAAGAAAGAAACCGCTGACTTTGTTCCTAACATATCTGAGAGTTATTAAAAATATGATGCAGCAACAAATTAAATTTTCGTGATGAACACGTTAGTATCTAACAGAGCTCTTCTTTTCGGAAAAAGATAAAATATTTGTATTTAAAAGTGACTCATTTCTCGTTTCTAAAAGTAAAGTAACAATGACAACAGCTACATATTTATTGCATATACAGGGCTGTAAACTTTCTAGGCGTTTTGGGATAATTTCTACTAGTGGTAGCTAAGTTTATGATTTAATGTGTTATTCTTTGTCTTGTAAATTTCTTCGGAATTTTCTTTTCGAATTTACGATCCAAAAAAATATTGCTGAGAATTAGTATATGTTCTATCCTAAATTCGAATATCCAAAATATTTTTGTCAGCAGACAGATTTTTGCTTGACCAATTGGTGGTTAAATTTGTGTTGTTCCGTCCACTAATCTCTTGTTCCCTGCAAAACACCCAAGTTTTGTCTTAAAAAATACACTGTGATAATATATTTATTAATTCTATTGCTTTAAGGTGTTTAAGATAAATTACTGCATAAAATAATTGTTGAAATTAGGTAAAAAATATTTTGAAAATTACCTACCAGTCTTGGGGATCAGAGCGTAAAAATCACATTTATCACAAAACTATTATAACTGTTTTGACAAGCAACGATAACACTAATGAAAGCGAAATTACAGAAAACATAAAACTTTACTTACTTTATTTGCAAAAATTGGGCACCTGGGGCAGCTCAGAGGCCCTTTCGCAAGTGATACGAGTCTATGTGCTAATTTAGCTGGTGTGGAAGTACTTTGGAGGTGTGAGTCTATCCTTTCGACACTCGATTATCCCCGAATTTCACGCATCTGGGAGGTGCATCGCATATTCGTTGAGCGTGGCAGTATTCCCGGCAATTAAAACACTGCAGCGGTCCCCGACCGCCACGAAAACGTTCTACTCTGACCGGAATCCGCTGAATGTCTGTGATTGTGAATATTTGCCGGTGATTCTTCGTTTCTCTAAGGATTGTGAGGAAAAGTGGGAGGAGCCTATAGGCCCCGTACACTCTTCATTAAACTGGATTACACTGAGGGTTTCAGTGTCCAATTTCCCTAATTCAAGGGAAATGTCCTCTGTTTCGAAGTCAGCGGGTAGTTCACGGATTAAAACTTTTGTAAACTTGATATGCAGCACTTCCTCTGGTGTTGTGGGAGGATTTGGAGCTTTGTTGGATTTCTCTTTGGATTCTGATGTTGCTAAGATAGTGGCGGTCTCTAGCTGTGAAGAAGAGCAGCTTTTTGTAGTCGTGGATGTGTTGATTATCTTCAGTGTTTTGACATCAGCTAGCTTTGACTTTTTTTTCCTTTTCTTTGC